ACTGGAGACGTGTCTCGGTCATGTCTACATAGTTCTCGAACCCGTAGGGTCCGCACGCTTAACGTTCTGTGACGATTTATATTATGAGTTATGTGTTTTGATGTACCAAAGGTAGTTCGGAGTCCCGGATGAGATCGAGGACATGACAAGGAGTCTCGAAATGATCGAGACGTAAAGATCGATATATTGGACGACTATATTCGGACATCGGAAAGGTTCCGAGTGCTTCGGGTATTTTTCGGAGTACCGGAGAGTTACGGGAATTCGCCGGGGAGAAATATTGGGCCTTATTGGGCCATACGGGAAAGAGAGAGGGGCTGCCTAGGGCAGGCCACGCGCCCCCCAAGGCCTAGTCCGAATTGGACTAGGGGGAGGGGCTGCGCCCCCTCCTTCCTTCCCTTCTTTCTTCCCTTTCCTTGACTCCTACTCCTACTACATGGAAGGGGGGGAATCCTACTCCCGGTGGGAGTAGGACTCCCCAGGGCGCACCATAGAGAGGGCCGGCCCCTCCCCTCCTCTCCTCCTTTATATACTGAGGCAAGGGGCACCCCATAGACACAAGTTGATCTATTGATCTATTCCAGCCGTGTGCGGTGCCCCTCTCCACCATATTCCACCTCGATCACATCGTAGCGGTGCTTAGGCGAAGCCCTGCGTCGGTAGCAACATCATCACCATCACCACGCCGTCATGCTGACGAAACTCTCCCATGAAGCTCTACTGGATCGGAGTTCGCGGGACGTCATCGATCTGAACGTGTGCTGAACTCGGAGGTGCCGTATGTTCGGTACTTGGATCGGTCGGATCGTGAAGACGTACGACTACATCAGCCGGGTTGTGCTAACGCTTTCGCTTTCGGTCTACGAGGGTACGTGGACTCACTCTCCCCGCTCGTTGCTATGCATCACCATGATCTTGCGTGTGCGTAGGATTTTTTTTGAAATTACTATGTTCCCTAACAAGGCGAATATCTAAGCTAAAGATAGTTGGTTGTGTAATTTAGATATCACCTTAGCAACCGCCAACCGTACATCTGCTGCCTGTTGTTGATTTATTATTATTACTGGTTTCTCATACATAGACAACAACAATTCTAGAATATTATCATCCAATTCTGAGCATATAGGTTTTGGTATTGTCTCTACTTGTGTGCTGGTTGCCTAATATCATCTACCGAAATGTAGTTAGTAGTTACCTGTGTGACATAATTGCCTTGTTGATGCCGACTGATATGTGATAATTTATAGTAGAATGTCCAGTAAACACATAGACATGTATAAGGTGGCATATGTATTTCTTACCTATTTTCTTTATTTTATCATTATAAGGAAAGTATGGATCCCAAGTTCAAAGCCATATCCAATTAGTTTGTCTCTCAAAAAAACACAAGAAATGCTAAAGGATGATTTACCCATGGAGGCATGGACCGAGATTGCTTTAATTTGGTCCTACGGAAGATTATGTTGATGACATCCAAATGGCACAAAAAACAAAACAATTGATTGAGAAACATTATCTGGACATGAAATTTTGGGTATGTTTTTAATTCATTATATACTTTTCTATATTCTAATTTTTTAATCACCTTTCTAACCAATTATTTTATATACTGATTTTTTAATTGTTTTGGCTGGAGACTTGCTTACTGGTTGCTAGTGCCCTGCATGGACCTAGTGGTGTCGTCGGCCGCGGCGCCGCCGCCACCATCGTTGCAGCAGCTAGGCCAAGAGTAGCCGAGTAGGGGAGAAGCATAATTGTTTTCTATATTCTGCTCCTCCCACCGGCCAGTTGAGGGCTGGAGTCGTCGGCCAGCCCCGTCGTCAGGCGTCAGCTAAGTTAAAGAATTGGGAATTGGACGACTGGCTGGTTCATACGAGTGGGCTGCTCTTAATGCTCTGCCGATTTGGCCTTCAGATTGTTGCCTGCTTAACTGCTTGTGGGATGTATAAGCACAAAAAACAGTGCAAAAAATTACAAATGAAATATAATATTTCAAAAAAATGTTCATCACCATAAAACTGATAACTTTTTAAAAATATTCTTGAATTTTTATTTAAAAAACACCTCAAAATAAAAAATATCCGTGCTTTCTGAACAACCAAAAAAATACTTTCTTCTGATGAAATGAAAGTGCGTAGCTGAAATAGGTATGACGAACATTGTCACGGTACGACCAAATTTCATGGTCCAAAAAAAATCAAAGTTAAGCGCGCCTAGGCTCTAGGCGTTGGCAAATACTCGGTGTAATCTTATTTTTGATGTTTGCAAAAGTAGGACCAAAAAGTGTTGAATAATGGCACATGGAGCAGGTTTTAATTTTTTGCCCCGAGATCTCCACTCCTTTCATTCATTTTTCCTTTCATTTTCCTGGTCGCTGGGGGTCAAAGGGTATGCAAAACTTAATTAGGCACTGTAGAGTTGGCTGTGTGATAGATGCAAAACTTAATTAGGCACTGTAGAGTTGGCTGTGCGATAGGGGAAATGACTTTGATGCTTAGCTCGGACGTTTTCTTAGTATGCTTAGAGTTGGCTGTTTGCTTAGTATGCTTAGGGATTGATGTGGTTCATATCTGGTCTGTACCGCCCTGTTTTGGTGTTAGGTTGATTTTTCATCAGACATGTCGAGCTGTTGTCGCTGGCTTATGATGCATTGGCTTGCTTTAGGCTGGGTACACAAGATTTTGTAGACCAAAACATGTCAAAAGCTAATTCAGACGGGTCTTCTGCAAATAATGTTCATCTTCAAACATGCCTTGAGTAGATTATTTAATCATTTTATAAGAATCAATTTAACTTTGTATTGTTGCAGCTTCATTATATATGCACTTACCAGTGCATCTAAAGGTTCAACAATGCAAAAACCACCATCAGTCTTGGCTAGATTGACATCAGAAGAAAGATAATGATGAATCATGAACCACATATAATCCTTAGCCTAGATTGCATGCTCCTTATTTTAAAAATCTTCCTTTAATGGCTGTCAAAATGGTATGCGCGAGCAAGAACCACAGTATCAATGCGAAGACTTGAGGAAGAAGGTATTATTATTGAGCTTACAAGTTACTCCCTCCGTCCCAAAATAAGTGACTCAAAAATGATCAACTTTGTACTAACTTTCGTATAAAGTTTAGTCACTTTTGGTGTCATTTATTTTGGGACGGAGGGAGTACATTTTTTTGTGTGTAACATAGTTCTTTTATAGTAAAATTGGATCTCTCTATTTGGTATGACTTTCTAAATCGCATTCGGTGTAACCTGACAAATCTCTCCCATGCATAAATGATTTTTTTAAGTATAGCACCCAAATGATTCACCCATGACATGTTCTTGAAATTGATTTGTACTACTGATCATTCAAAACACGAGTGTTAGATTTTCTTGTCTGAAAATATGATAATGATGCCGAGAGAAGAGAGCATGCGTACGATCCATGAACATGATGTGCAACAAGAGATGGTATGACTTCTTCGGAGAACCATCTTGATCCTTCTTTTTTTCTTTATAATATTGCCAACCATTAAGATTGTGGTGCGGAAGGTCGCGGGCGCTAGTGATTGTGGCACGGTTTAGAGGGTTGGCCGGCCGCGGAGGCGGCGACTCGGGTAGGGGGTGATGAGCAAAATATTTCAAAAGCCCGTGGCAACGCACGGGCATTATACTAGGTTTATTTAGGGAGTGTAGTGAGAAGAGACGTCATTCCGTCAGTCGAGCCCAGAACCGTGCCCATCAGTAAGTCCATCGCGAGTAAAAAAAAGAACCATCACCGAGTCTCCTCTCACCGGAGACGGGACGCCGTCGACGGTGACGGCTTGGACACCCGGAGCACTAACAGGATGCAAAGCGACCCTCGCGACGGCCAAGATCTCCCGGAAAAGTACGGTGACCCTTCGCCGGAGCTCGCCGAGCCGCCGCAGCCTCGATACCGGATCTGAGCCCACGAGGTACATACATCTCGTCCGATGCCGCTAGTTAATCAGTTTTGTGGTCGATTCATTTAATTTCTTCAACGGGAAGGAGGATGCGGATGTGGCAGAGCTCAAAAGGCTACACGCTAGGAGGATGTGGAGCACATTCAGAATCTGTTTCAGGTACAGAAATTGCAGGCTGCAGCTAGTGTTAACCTAAAGAACTTTGACTCAAGATTGTAGTGAAGCTTTGTGTTTAATCTTTCTTGCCGTGAGGATGTTACAGATCGCATAACACAATCACTTAACACCAACGACAGATTAAATACTACCAGTCTCTGGACTCAAATCCAGAACACAAGCACAGAAGCTGTCATGACAATCGCAATGATACCAAGATCACAATTTCTGAATCAAGCTGTGTTTGTTTCTTTTTGGTATTATTATTAGAGTAGTCAAGTAGAGCAACTTCCTGTTACGACCAATTAACAGGATGCACCAAGTCAGCATAATTCAGACAAAATGGTCATCTTTGCCCAGTAAAAAATGTCACAAAACTAGAGCTTCTTTTTTTATCTGGGAAGGGTGAGGAATGATGGAGGCTAGATAAATAGGCCAGGGATCCATGTGCATCACGTCAACCAAGAACGGGCCAAACCGGGAGCGGGGAATAAGAAGGAGCGATGAGACTGCTACGGAGACAATGGCTATGGTTGTGGGAGATCCTCAAATGGATATCAGAGCTGCAAGATGCAGAAAAGCCTGAAAAGGCGGATGCAAGCAATGCTGTGGCATTAGTGTCACTGGCAGGGAAGCAGGACAGATTATTGACCTTAATGGCTTAATCTGAGAGGATCAGTGCATCTCTCTTCTAATTGATAGTATCAACTAATACTAGGAATTGAGCAATTATTGCAGTTTCTGTATAAATATCACAATCCTGGTAGCAATATTACATAAACATGACAATGCACGAGTCATGATAGATGATAAAAACAAAAGTGTGAGAAGATAGGGTGACATCTTACAACTTATAGCTCCCTCCAGTAATAGCATAACTATACTGACAGGGCGTCTTGTGTCTTCGCACCATTTTCACACAACCCGGAACCATTTGCGGATTTTACCCCATTTCAACAGAATACCTGCCGCGAATCCAACGCCAAAGCCCACCCCAGCAAAGAGAAACAAAATGACATCAACATGATCTTTGGATATGCTTACTTGTGCCTCATTTGGGTTACTTGAATTACCACATGGTTTGCACAAAGGTGGTCCACAAAGCTCTGCATTCCCTTCATATGAAGTGTTCTCAAATGTTGCAAACTGACGTGACTGTGGTATCCTTCCATCCAGCCTATTTCCAGACAAGTTCAGTGTGCTAAGAAATGTTAAATTTGTTAGCTCTTGTGGAATCTCTCCAGAAAGCTTGTTCCATGATAAGTCAAGCGATTCCAGTTGACGCATCTCACCAATTTGTGGTGGAATCCTTCCTGTAAATGCATTATGCGACATGTTCAATATGTGTAGTGAAACTAGACTTGCAACTGATTCCGGAATGTCACCCTCCAATGCATTATTTGAGAAGTCAATTGCGGTTAAGGTAGTCAAGACTTCTTCAAAAGTCACATATTGACCTTTGTATGTGATTGCAATAGTATCATGGTAGTCTCCGTAATATATCTGATTGCCTAAGATATTGCCCGTCTCACTGGAATTTGCCATCATAGATGTGAACCTCCCAAACCATTGTGGATCCAAATTGCCAGAGAAATTGTTTGAGGCTATATCAATGATTTGTAACTTTGAGAAGTATTCCCTGGATTTTCTATCTCTTTTAGGATAAGTAAGCGAGCCATAGAATAGGTTGGATCCCAGAACGACGATACGAAGATCAGAAAGCCTGCCCAACCAAGATGGGAAAGTATCAACGATATGATTGTTTCCAATGTCTAGAACCTCCAAGGCAGCACAGTTGGAAAGAGACCTAGGCAGCTGCCCTTGAATTTTATTGCCATGTACATCAATTGTCTTCAGATTACAGTGCTTACCAACACGGTAAGGCAATGTTCCCTCCAGGTGATTTTCCCTCAAATTTAATACACCCAAATTGCTCTCTTCTACCAGACAAGATGGTAGTATGCCACTGAAGTTGTTATATGACAGGTCAAGGACTTCGAGGTTGCTTAAGTCGCAAACTGAATGGGGTATATGCCCACTTATGTTATTTCGTGACAATTTGAGATAGCTAGTTTGGCGAAGGTAAGTAGTGAAGTTAGACATAACAGAAGAAAATCTGTTGTTTGAATAATCCAAGAATATAGGGTAGGTGTTAGCTGTTGTCAACAGGTTTGGCATTGGTATCTGGCCATGCAGCATATTGGAACTTAGGTCAAGAGATTCCAAATAATTGTATGGGAGAACATATGAAGTAAGTTGCATATCTTTGAATATGTTGTGTGAAAGATTTAGACTTGTAAGGCTATCATCCCATCTCTGCCATAACCATTTGGGTATACTCCCATGTATTTTGTTGCTCGAAAGGTCTAACATTTGGATATGATTAACATGCATCAAGAATCTAGGAATTGTTGTCATGTTGCAAGACGCAAACCCTACTATCAAGAGTTTAGGGAGTAATGGTACCGTGGGTTTACTGCCTTCTCCATCCAAAATGGACAACCTGTTTTTCGAGAGACCCAAGTAATCAAGCTTTCTTAATTTCCAAAGTGAGCTCAAATGTACTGAACTTGTTAAGTTGTTTGAGCTAAGATCCAGTAACATAAGATTTTTTAGTCCACCAAATTCTTTGATCGATCCAGAAAGTTGGTTTGATGAAAGATCCAACCAAAACATTGCTGGAGAAGCGAATAGAGATGTTGGAATCTCTCCTGAAGTAAAGTCAAAATGAATCTATGTTAAGATTGTAATGAGGACCAAACAATGCATTTTCTGTAGAATAAAAGTTATGAATGCCAAGTAGAAATATTTCAAAGAACAAGATAACTTTGTTATAATATATTACGTAACGTACAACATTAAATGTTGGTATCCAAGAGCAATAACTTAAGTTTTGGATAATCTTAAAAGGCCAAAAGCTTTAGCTAGTACCACTTGGACTCTGCTGCAGAAGAATTACATGGATGATATCCATACATGCCATATCATAGCAAAGGGAAATAAGTTCAATTTTTAGTGAAGTTGTTTTAAGGTCACGACAAGCATCTACTAAATAGCTCAACACCATCTAAAGTAGGAATTTTAGCACACTCGGTTCATCTGAGTTGCTTGGTAATGGTATTTTGTAATTAATTTTCAATTCCTATGTCATTGGACTTTGCTTGATAATTGTATTTTTTTAAAACTTCATCTAGGAATAATTATCCTAATACCGGGTGTAGGCACATCCCACACGTGTTTCATACATTTTAAGTAGTATATATCACATCAGAGGTTATGTATTCATAGTATGTAGTGTATAAACATATTTAGATAGAATATATACAACTCCCTCCGTTCGGTATTAGATGATGCTCAAAAAGATGTATCTACACGTATTTCAGTACTAGATACATCTATTTGAGCGTCAACTAATTCCGGATGGAGGAAATACTTTTTAGGTAGTATGCACAATAGTTTTTTAGCATACTCCTTTTATCACTGGCTTAGATGTAATTTCCCTTTCCAACTAATAGTAAATTTTGTTTGTATCATATGCATTCCCAGAAAGTGTTTTAAACAATAACATGCGCACATTTAAATAATTTAATCCATGATAGTTCAGTGCTATGTATTATTTTTGTTAGGTATTGGCTCCTTTGATGGTTCAATGTTTTGAGCTTAGCAATTCTAAAGTTGGTGAGGACTGTCATTTGCTAGTAATATCATATTATAATTCTTGGGAAAATGTATAGGCCAGATGGTAGCTTAGCGCGCGACTATTCAGGTGCTGTCCATTGACGCAGATGCGGGAAGCCTAACCGTGGTGTCAACTGGTGCCCCAACTTGGCGCCACAACCGGCAGCGGCAGCTGCTACAACCAGATCCAGGAGGAGGCAGCGTTGCAGGAGGAGGAGGAGGCGTTGCGGGAGGGGAGGGGCTCAAGGGGCGGAGGAAGAGATTAGTCAGGGATACGAGAAAAGGAAGACAGCCAAGTTGCGATGCAGCGTGAACAGTCAGCCCTTACTCGCTTGCAGCATTGGGAGGGCACCGCTCGAGGTCTCCTGCCGCACCACCACCTCACCCCTTGGGGGTGGGTCCTGCTCTGTCCCGGTCCTGCGACGCCGCGAGGAGGCGTGGTGGCTCTGCGACCAATCCCTGGCTGCCGGAGCGTCGGACATGGCTATGGTACCACTTGTAGCCAAGAACAGCGAAAAACAAGTTCAAAGACAAAGGGTTTGCGCATCTAAAATTTTATTTCTGCTTTTCAGCTCTTTCTCTTCTTCTATTCCTTGACTTAAGCAAATTACGTTGTGGCGCCTGCCTTCCTAACAGATCATGCCATCCAACGGCCGAGCGCACACGCACGGCACCCTACAAACTGGACGCCTGGCATTTGCTAATAGAAAAACGGGAAAACACTAACTACCAGAAAATACTGCCATGGCACGCTAAAACAACTACACACCTAATGTGCTTATTTAGCTAATTGGCGGCTAGATTATGCAAACAGTGAATACTTTAGTTATGAATTGAAACTTACCTCTAAGGTTATTTTCCGACAGATCCACATATATCAACTGAGTCAAATTGGTAATTACACTTGGTATTTTTCCAGAAAACCTGCAGCCCGCTAAGGTTAATAACATCAACTGGCTGAGATGTCCAATATATGTTGGTATTTGACCTGATAAACTATTCTCAGAGATTTCCATGGATCTTAGTTTAGTGAGATTGGCGATTGAAGATGGCACTGCCCCTGAGAAGCCACAAGCAGAGATTGTCAAGGAAGTCAACTTGTTGAGGTTGCCAATTGATGGCGGTATTTGTCCAGTGAATCCAAATCTTATTTCCAAAATTTTCAAGTTGGTGAGGTTGCCAATCATGGTGGGAATTATATTGGATGAAGAGCAATCGTACAGTTGTAAGCTTGCCAAGTTCTTGAGGCTACTAATACATGAGAAAAATGGCCCTAACCCCCAAGAAAATTGTGAGAGTCCTAAGCTTGTCAAATTCTTAAGGCTACTAATCCACAAGAAAAATGGCCTTAACTCCCCAGAAAATTGTGCAAAAGGGAGCTGCAAGTTTTGCAAAGAGTTGAGCTTGTTGAACAGTAAATCCGTATGGTCCACAAAAATTGACCTTCCATCAAAACCTAGCTCCCTCAGAGACAGGATGTTGCTAAATGAACTCATCTTGATACCAGAGAAATTAGTAGACTGTAGATTCAAAGTCTCGAAAGAAGACCCATTTGGAAATTCTGGTAAATGTCCCGAGAGTTGACTGTTGCCTGACACATCAAGCACTCTTATATTCTTGAGTTGAAATATTGTCTGAGGAAACCAACCACTGAAACTGTTGTCCGCAAGTTGAAGAACACTTAAATTGAGAAAGTCTGCGAAGAATTCAGGCACCACACCAGAAATCTCATTGTCATGAACGTTGACCGTGGTAAGGGATCGGAGATTTGACAGAGAGGAGTGTATTGGACCTTGGAGGTGACAATCTGCCATGCTAAGAACCTGAAGATAGGGGACAACCTTACCTAGACCATTGCACCACTCTTCTCCACTACTTGATATGTCCACTCCGTCAAGGTACAACTCCCTCAGGTTGGTGAGGTTTGCCAGTAAGGTCTCAAGGCTGGGCCCTCGTAGCAGCAGCTTGTTATAGCCACTCAAGAAAGCAGAGTAACTCGGGCTTGTATACGAAACATCAATATTATGCTCATCAGAAAAATCCAGTGTTACGAGGTTTGTGAGTTTGCCAATGGCGATAGGAATCTGACCGTACAAGCCTGAACATGAAAGTTTGAGGTGAGTAAGCTTTGTTAGCTTCTCGAAGCCAGCTGCTGGAATGCGAGTTCCACCAAAATCGTTCATGCTGAGGTCGAGGTATCGCAGGGAGGTGAGATTGAAGACCGCGGCATGCAAGCCGTAGCTGTAGAAGCTACAGCCACGGAGGTCAAGAACAGTGACACCGCCGCCGCCATCAGATACGCCATCATCACAGCCGACGCCCTCCCACTGACAGCAGTCAGTACCAGGCTCCCACGACGGCAGTGTGGTGGTGGAGTAGTCGAAGATGAAGGACTGCTTTAGTTGGAGAAGTGCTGCAGCTTGGTCCGGACGGCAGACGGAAGAAGCAGTGGCGTTACCATGGGCATGGCCATGGGCATGGGAAGTAGATGGACCTAATGAATAGAGTTGTATCAATGTGAAGAGGGCAAGTAGGTGAATAGCACAAGCCATTGGTTCGCTTCGACCTCTGAACTCCAACTAACTCCCGGGAGAAATATATAACATCCTCTCTTCTTCTTTATATCAATTTCACTGTCTAGGAACAAGGGAGCCTGTGTGGAAAAATGACCTTTGAAAATTCAAAGTCAAGTCACCGCCACCAAGTCTCCATGTCCTGATCAAGCTGCACCGTGAGCTTTAGTCTTCAGAATTCAAGTGTTAATCAATGTGCCGGATCGAAGAAGGCATACAGGTCAGGACAATGTTGATTGACGGATAATGACATTAAAGCTCTTGCGAAGAATTATTTTCAAAGAAGAACTTCTCGAAGATGTTTCTGCCCTCTCTACATCAAGTTGTTTGGTTTAAGTTCTCTTCACGTGCTTTCTCTAAGCTTGTGAGGAGTTTTGGGTGGCACTTCAAGCCTGATTCAAATGTTCACGACGAGGCTTATCTCTTAAAATCCAGGTATCCATGTTTGAATCAAATGTAAACTATTCATTGTATGTCCTCCTGGTCTGCTAGCATTTCCATGTGACAGTCGACTAACGAACACGTTGAGCTCCGGAAATAATTGTTTCAAGTACCTAAAAAATTCATCCATCTAGCAACATGTATTGTGGCATCGTACATGATATGATGACCATTTTGTTACATGGGGTGAAAGATTTTAGGATCGAGCATTTACTGAAGCAGTCACGATCACAGCTCGCTTTCACAATCTTGCGGGAAATTTACAAACATCTGTCACTTACAAATCCTAGTTGAGCTCCTGGTGAGCATGAGTGGCGATGGTATTTAACAATTGTATTTTCTATGCATGATTGTACATGGAGTTATGTATGAACTCTTTTACTATAAGGCTTGAGACAATACTCTTATCTATTTTGAGATCTGTAGACGATTTGCTAAGCAAAAGGTTAGATTCATGCCTCAGGATGTACAACACTGGGAAGGTCGATAATAGTTTTGTCTATTAATTTCTCAGTTTGTGGCAGTTGTAATACATGGTTAATGTGAATTCAAAGCCCCATCCACTGTGACCAAGTACCCAGTCCTGATCAAGCTGTACCATGAGCTTCGGAGGTCAAGTCATAATCAATATGCCGGATCTAAGAAGGCATGCATGAAGTACCGCGTTGACTGATGGATAATTCAGATAGGCTTTTGCGAAGAATTCTATTTCCACAGAATTTTTTCGAAGATATTTCTGCCTCAACATCAAGTTGTTTAGTTTCTTTTTTTTTCACGTGCTTCCTAAGGCTGTTCTTCATGATGAGGGTTACTTCAAGAGCTACGACGAGAGCTTTGGGTGGCACTTCAATCTGCAGGTTCAGTCTTGTACGACTACCAGCGTTTTGTGCTTCGTAGTGATGTGGATAACAATACTTCAGTCATGAATATTTTTGAATCTTCAGTTGTACCACTGCTCGTTGCTCCGGCAGATCATGGTGCAAAGGGATGTATTGCATTTGCTCAAGTTAGGAGAGTGCTCATTTTCCTACTAACCAAAAGCAAAAAAGGAAAAGATTGATGTCATGTACTGCAGTGGCGGTGCCAGGAATCATATCATGTGTAGTCAATTGGGTGTTGTGTAGTCACCTGTATGAAATTTTAAGTTTTTTTTTTGTCTGATTTCTGATTGTCGTATGATTTTTTTGCAAAAAATTGTGTAGTCAATCGACTATATAGGTCAAGTTTGGCTTGGCAACTGCTGTACCGCACACACCGCCTCTTTCATGGGAAAGGAGCTAGATTTGTGTAATTCAGAAAACAAGGGGAAAAGCTGTGGTGGTGGAGCGTCGGAAGAATCTTTCCTCGCGATGCAGATTGCTTTGAAAATTCAAAGGCCAAGGCTGCCATCAAATATCCAGTCCTAATCAAGCTGTACCTTGAGCTTCAGAGTTCAAGTCATAATTTCTAAGAGGCCACACGGTGCAATATTGATTGGCGGATAATGACACATAATGACACGAAAACTCTTGTGGAAAATAAATCTATTTCTTTTTGAAGGTCTTTTTACCTCAACATCAAGTTGTTTGGCTTCATACGTAATTCAGAAAACAAATGGGCCATCTGAGTAAACAGGTCGGTAAATGTTTTTTGTTAGCGCTCAGTCCAATGTTGACTGTCTGATAATTACAATAAAGCCCCTGCAAAGAATTCTAGGGGATATCTTGGATTATATCTTCTTGTCCTCAACATTAAGTTCTTGGTTTACTACATATATAAAAATATCTACGGTATGTCATTTTGCTTCACAAGCTTGATGCTTCCTCTATTTTCTCTGTCAAGACTCACTTGCTTTCAGACCTATGTCTTTTTTTTTTTTTTGCGGGAAAGACCTATGTCATTTTCATCTAGAAGCCCATGATTTCGATATCTGAACTTGCAGTAAACAAAGGAAAACGTGACACTGCCGTTCAGAATCAGAGTAAATTGCGTGTTCCTTTCTGTTAAACATTATTGTTGAAGTTATATTCACCATCATACCCTGCATAACTCGTTTTGTTTGTCGCCATATATATATTTCAGGCATCCTTCGGCCTGATGAATTTTCAACTGCATATAGAAGCTCCCGTCATAGGCATTCTTCATCGGAAAAAAAATAGAAGCTCCTGTCATAGGCATTCTTCTCGAACAATGATCGTGCTTCAGAAAAATATAAAAAGAAAGATATAACATCAGTTTTTGTGAACAGCAAATGGCTATGCGCCCATACATTTGGTTTCAGCAATCTTCTTTATTGGCGTGATGTTGATAGAAAATGAGGAAATGACTGTTGGCATGATGCTAAGATGATTTAGACCCGCACCCTCCATGCACCATAATTTTCAGGTCGTTGTGGCGGTATCGGCATCTCCAATGCAGACCCTCAAACCTCCCGTATTTATCCGGACCAAGCTGTTCTAACCCCGCAAGCCATCCAAAAGCGTCCTGCATCTGTCCGCGAACCAGTCCGGACATCCGTTTTCTAGCATACCAGAGGGGCTTTGTGGGAGTCCGAACACCAGCCACGTAGAACTCCGACACCCCGGTCCACCCAAAACTGAGGTGGAGCCCGCGACTTTGGAACTACCCACACTGTTTCCTCAGCAAAATCTCCATTTCTTAACCATCTCATCTACCATCCTGTTGGCAAGATCAACTCGGTGACACAGTAAAAATACTGCCCCAAAGCGAAGGCAAAGGCGGCGCCACTCATGAAGCAGAAGGTCGGCTTGGGTGGTTGTCATGCTGCGGGGCATGGGCGTGGGACACGGGCGCCGCCCCCATCGCCGTTCATGCTGACGCCTTCCTAGCCAGAACAATACAAGCGTCGCTACTTCTACGCCGCCCCAGCAGCTCAGCAGGTATCCGCGACATCCGCCACCAGGCACGTGCCTTACTGCATCGACGACAACGCGGCGCCGCTATTTTTCTCCGAGTCTTCATCGCCGCAACTTGTCCGGACACGGACGCCGAGCATGGAGCATCAAGGTACCCGCACTGTTGCCGGTATGTTTCAACCGGGCGAGCCGGCGCATGACAACACGGGCATGTAATATTTCAGATGATCCACAATGGAGGTGGAGGCGGAGGCTGCTAGTGCACGTGGATGACTCTAAGTCCATGCAGCCGGGTACGTACAACCAGTCCGTTGCGTACACTCAGCTACCGGATTTGTATGCCAGCCAGCAGCAGGAGGAAGACAGTGACAATGACCTTGATCCAGATGAATTTGCTGTCGATCTAAGGACGAATAGAAGAGGAAGGTTCAACATGAGAGAGGACAAATTATTGTGCGATGCGTAGTTGGCCATTGGCAACAATTTGATCCATGGCACTGAGCAAAAGGGCGCAACATTCTAGGCCAAACATTTATACTTGGTTTCACAAGCACAAGTATTTCAAGCCATATGCCAACGAATTCATGGCAACCGTGGAGTAAAGTGTTGGAAATATGAGCAAATTACTACGAGATTTAATCCGAATAAACAAAAGATAAACCATGACTACAGTAGCAGAGATTGAACTAATCATGCGAACTAGCATAGCAGATGAACAGATCACATCTAGGGCACATACTAGAAACATGAATTCTACCACGATCTCAAACAGGAAAGATAGAATCACGTACGGTGCAGCAGGAGCAGCACCGCCGGCGTTGACGTTGTCGTCCATGTCGTCGAGGATGAGGTTGCCGAGGTCGGGGAAGAAGTCGTCGTTCGCGAAGTCATCGCTGCCAGCACTCGCGCGAGTGCGCTCCCCAAAAACCTGATCGCCCCTCTCCCGTACAGGATCACGAGAGGCGGGGTTCCGGAGGCCTGCTGTTCCTTCTCCCAGTGCACGCCAAAAGGAGGGATGGAGAAGACTTGCTTGGCGGCGCAATGATCTGGAGCGGTGGTGAGAAACCATACGAAGCGGCGGCGGCTAGGGTAGACGTCTGCCTGACTATATAGTGCGGGCCGGGTAGGTCGTGGGAGTAAACCCCACGTCCGAGTCGTCACGATCCAAAAGAATCGGAAACTGTACAGTAATTAACGCGTCCGTTAATTATTAATTAATGACTCATTAATTTTTTCCGAGCAGCAAAAATATAGACAACGTGCATAGCTCTGTCCTCGGCTCGGCTCAATCCCGCAACCCGCGGCGCGGCGCAGCGCGGCGCGTCGTGACGAGGCGAGGCGAGGCGTGGCGAGCGAGGAGGAGGAGAACGAGTGTAGGTCTCCTCTTCTCATGCTCATACAAATGGTAGGAGAGCTCACCTTATAAAGAGGTGCAACTCTCTCTCAACTTATGAGGTGGGACTAAACTTTAGACTCACTCACTCCACTCACATGTGTGCATGAATGGGCCAAGAGAATTTTAGAATTTTAGTTGGGCTTTGGGCCGAAAGCCCACTAGCAAATTCCAACAATCCCCCACAAAGTCTCATTGGCACATTTCACCATTTGTTTCCAAAACATTGTTTATATACCGGTGCTTACACTACAAGAAATATGTCAACTTGTGACCACCACTATTAGTCACTGAAAGGTCACAAATTTCCATTTACGACCTTTTTGTGACCAAAAACAGAAGGTCAAAAGCTGGCCGTCGTAAACTGACTATAGCGATCTTTCTTCTGGAATGGTCAAAGACGTTTACGACTAAAATATTCCTACTGTGGCGTTTTGGTCACTAGCAACCTCCCCAGGCCACGTAGGCATCCAGCGTGGCAAGCTGATGTGGCACAAGATTCAGCCCGGTCCAATTAGGTGTTTTACATGGGCCGAGCCCATTAATTCAGCCTTTTATATATGTTTTTTCCTGTCAATTTATGCTAGTTACATGGGCCAAGCCCAGCAATTCGGCCTTTTTGGTTTCTAAGACAGAACTTTACGGTCCATTTCTTTTTGGGCCTCGGCCTTTTAAAAGTTGACTTTTTTTGGGCCTCAGCCTTTTTGCATGCTATTCACGTTTTGGGCCTTGGCCTCTACCAATAAGTAAGTGCAACTCATCAACTTTCTATTTCTCACATTTTCACAGTACAAAGAAACAAAACTATTTCATGACAAATATTTCAAATGAAACATAACTATATACTTGAAATGACCAGACCAGTACAACCAGACCAGTACAAAATACAACCAGACCAATAAGTGTAGCCTATTACAATCTTTACATACTGTTCATACAACCAGACCAGTACAAAATACAATGAAACTAGCTATGAAGTACAACCAGAACGCTTCATCGTCTTCCTCTTCCAAATTCCAAGAAACAAATCACCTAGCATTAGAAGGATCACGCATCAGAAGCATATAAAATCTTTCAACCAACAATATAGTTTGCTTATAAGAAAACATATGGTCTGATTTCAAAATCCATCAAAACACAGTAACTCTACAGGCAGAAAGTAAACTGAAGGCAACCTCTTTGCACATCACTTATTTATGAACAGAGGGAGTGATATTCAGCTTCTGCAGTCAAAGGAGACCCGTAAACTGAACATACAAGCAACGAAAGCAATTATCAGATATGCTGACTTAATCTATATGATTCTTAGATCTAGTCATGCTCGTGTTCTTATGTAAATAAGCTCACCAGTGATGTGGTAATTTGTTTCACTGCATGTAATGAGGTCCAGTTATGCAGCAAGTTTACCGTCCAACCAAACATCCTCTTACAAGCAGAAATGTATTCACTTATATACAGTGTATTTGTAGTGCATAGGAATTTACAGAGCTCTCGAACAAAGCCAGCCGGAGTGGGAAGAGAAGGTAGGATGAACCTTGCGAGCAGTGGAGCAGCGACGTCGGATCTGGGTTGCACGGCGGCACATCACCTCATAGTGGAAGTCATCGAGGACGTCATCGGCGTGGTGCACAGCAGTCTTGAGGTCCACTCGCGGACGGCGGGGTCGATCACGTCCTTGTACGCCTTGTCCTGCCCTTGCACGGTGACAAATTAATTAACATTACAAAACTGCTTCATACTAGTAAAAGGCACGTGCCATGCACATACATACTTAAGAATTATTGCAAAATGTTGTATGTAATTGAGAGGGATTGAAGTCATTTTTATTTACTATATAATCAGGCTGTTAGTATTTGTTAACTTATTCAGGTAAAGTCCATACACATGCATGCATATAGTGATTAGTCAATCTAATTGAGTACTCCCTCCGTTCCTAAATACTTGTCTTTCTAGAGGTTTCGACAAGTGACTACATACGGAGCAAAATGAGTGAATCTACGCTCTAAAATATGTCTACATACATCCGTATGTTGAGTTCATTTAAAATGCCTAGAAAGACAAATATTTAGGAACGGAGGGAGTAGGTGTTTACGTAAAAAAGTATTGGTAGAACAATGGGAAAGCTGGGCCAAAATATTTGCAAAACGAATTGATAAGAGAAAGTAGAAAAATGGAGAGGTCAAGGTTTTTCTTTTAAAAAATGTACAAAGCAGCTTTTGGGCTCTCAGGCACCCATGCTCCTTGTGAGCAATTTATCAAATATGCTTAGTAATAACAAAGGAAAATCATGCATGCAGAATGGAGTGTATTTTAGCATAGCAGAAGGTTTCAGAAAATGATAGGGCTACCAAGATTTGCATGTCATACAAAAACAAATCAATAGAAACATGCCAAAGTTCTTATTTTTGCACAGGCCATATTCGTTCGAATTATTTTACGAAAAAGTATCAGTTTATTAAACCTGCAGATTACTACATGTTTCATTTTTTGACAAAAAAAGAGAAAATATTTCTGGCACCAAGAGTACCAGTGCCCGAGAGCGAAATTTTGAAAGTAACAATCTTATATTTTACATGTTGTTTTTAATCTGCTAAAATGCATCCTTACAGAGGCTGCAGGCTCCATGTGTGTTTTTCTCTCCCTCACCACGCTGCATAGGAGTATAGATACAATCAGTTTTTCGTGCGGACGTTCATTACACTCATCATATAGTGTGTGTGTGTGTGTGTGTATCATCTGAAAAGGAAGCTTACCAGAGAGTCCTCACTGGCCTTGGAGTTGAGGACGCTCTTGTACACTTGCAGAAAGTCTTTTCCCTCCAAATTCTCGCTGGCAGCCTTTTATCCAAAGCATTCAGATTCCAATCCTGCGTACATGCACACAGTTTTCAGTCCCACAAAGTCTCATATCAATATGGAGTTGCTACATACATTCAACAGGGGAGAAGCAGAAATATAAAACAGAGTATGTCTGGTGACTCTGGTCAGGAAGACTCCACTATTTGATGTAGCATTCAAAAATAACACAAATAAAGTTTCATTTGTATACCGTACATAACTTGAACGAGAGTGGCCAAAAAGTGCAGGAATCTTTATTTCTTTTTGAGAAAAAAATAGTGCAGGGAGTATATATTACCTTGAAGAAACCGTGCCAGCTTGTCGAGGTTTCTGGCCGTGAGCTTGTGGAGATCCTCGCCGGCCCAGACAGGGAAGACGAAGATGGTGGTGCAGAGGCAGGTTAGTACGCCGATGACGATGGGGGAGAAGCGCTCGTCCGCCATCTTCCTTCTCTCTCTCTCTCCAAGTGTCCATCAGGATCCTCACAGTCGTGTGTACAGGTGCCCTGCCATGAAGTGCCAGCATTTTCCATGCCATCAGATCCATTACAGACATGCTTAAGGTGCAAAATACACAAGGCAATTAAGCATGTTCCTCCAATATTATGCAATCTCAGATGCAAACAGGTAACAACACCTATTTATATGCATAAACTAACTAAGATTTTCTAGCAAGATAGATGGCAGCACAATTTTCTAGCATAAACTAACTAAGATTTTCTAGCAAGATAGATGGCAGCACAGTGGCTGGCTCCATGTGCGGTCCAACGCAAATGATTTATGCGCACAGCCAAATTCATGGGCCCCAACCACCTAAAGCAAAGCCAAATTAACTAGAGGATAACCGCAAACTTTATCGTATAATCATTCCAGCGCCTGACGGCAACAAAATCAGGTACAGCAAATTCCAATCGACGGCGAAATAGCAAAGGGGAGGGGGAGGGTTCAAATCGGGTCACCTCCTTGCCCATGGGCACGACGAGGCGGTAGTCGCAGTCGCGGCTGCGGGTGAGGCAGTGCAGCCACCAGCGCGCGACGAGGGTGACCTCGGCCGTGGCGCACCCGCTTGGAGAGCCTGAGGCCGTCCTCCACCGCGCGCTCGAAGTCCTCCTCCATGGCTGCTGCTGTAACCCTGAAGCGGAGGAGAGGAGGAGGCGGTGGAAATTAATGGCTGGGGATTCGTGGACAAGTGGGCGGAAGTGGGATCCCATGGCCTCCCACCGCGGAGGCCATGGGATCGGCAAGGAGCTGGATCTCACCGGTCCGGCGCGGCGGGGATCCGGCGATCCGTCTCGCCACATCCGTACATCTCGGGAGGAAGGGAGGTCGCCGGCGGGGCTGGGGATGGGTTTGCGGGAGTGGAG